CCTTTTTGTTTCTTTCATCTCTTCTCAGACACGTTTCGGTATTTCATTTTGAGTCCCTGTTACAAACTCATCTTCTTGATCTACGTCCATTTCTTTTTTGAGCTTTTTCTTTTCTGCAACACAGGATGTTGGAGCTGGTGGCCCAGAAGCAGCGGGAGCGTGAAGAAAGAGAGGAGCGCGAGGCTTTGGAACGGGAACGGCAGCGCAGGAAACAAGGGCAAGAGTTGTCAGCTGCCAGGCAGCGGCTGCAAGAAGATGAGATGCGCCGGGCTGCTGAGGAGAGGAGGAGGGAAAAGGCTGAAGAGTTAGCAGCCAGGTCTGAGTGATGGGGATGGTAGATAACAGATGAGCTGGGAAGCTAGGTTTGCTTTGTCAACGTCTGTCCTACTCTCTTCCTGTCTGCATTCCAGACAGAGAGTCCGAGAAAAGATTGAAAGAGACAAAGCAGAGAGAGCCAAGAAGGTAGGTGACTGGGAAGACATTGAGGGTAATGAAGTACATGGGCTAGTAAAAGAATCTCCTTTCCTAGCTTCAGAGGGAAAGATGGCCATTCAATGTTTCTGGTAAGAATGGGTGGGGACCTGATCAATGCTTTCTTTGTCCTCCAGTATGGTGGTAATGTGGGCTCTCGGCCATCTCCACCAACAGAGCCAGGGCCGGTTCCATCCTCTCCCAGCCAGGAGCCTCCCTCCAAGCGGGAGTATGACCAGTGTCGCATACAGGTATTGATTGTAATTCCTGTCTTGCTTCTGGGATTCCTTCGTTGGCCTATACAACACCTGGCTCAGAGCTTTTTTTCACTTGGTTCCCTTTGCCAAACCTCTACCTTTTTTGTAAATGACTTTTGAAATCCTATCTCTCTACGGTTAGTAGATACCAAGTTTCACTTGCCCCAGTCTTTTTTTTTTTTTTTTAATATTTTTTTTATTTATTTATGATAGTCACAGAGAGAGAGAGAGAGAGAGAGGCGCAGAGACATAGGCAGAGGGAGAAGCAGGCTCCATGCACCGGGAGCCCGATGTGGGATTCGATCCTGGGTCTCCAGGATCGCGCCCTGGGCCAAAGGCAGGCACCAAACCGCTGCGCCACCCAGGGATCCCCACTTGCCCCAGTCTTAATTTAAATCCATACCTCACTCTTCCTCAGCAATTACCTTTTTAGTTGGTCATGTTTTCATTTGGCTTATCAGACTGTTTGCATGGTGTGATATTTATGTAGGTATTTTTGTATATTCTTATCCTTGTCTTTGTTAAAACGTGAGGGAGTTGCAGCCTCTCTTCAATGCTTAGTAAAGCAGACAATAAGTGTGGTTCATCGGGGTGTTGTTTTTTATTTATTTATTTATTTATTTATTTATTTATTTATTTATTTATTATTCATTTATGAGAGACGGCGGGGGGAGAGAAAGAGACAGAGACAAAGGCAGAGGGAGAAGCAGTCTTCACGCACGGAGACTGATGTGGGACTCAATCCCGGGACTCCAGGATCATGCCCTGGGCCGAAGGCATGCGCTAAACTGCTGAGCCACCCAGGGATCCCCATCATCAGGGTGATTGATTGGTTGATTGATTGATTGATTTTTAAGATCTTATTTATTCATGAGAGACAGAGAGAGAGAGGCAGAGACCCAGGCAGAGGAAGAAGCAGGCTCCCTGTGGGGAGCCCGATGCGGGACTCCATCCCAAAGGCAGCGCTAAACTGCTGAGCCACCTGGGTTGCCCCATCAGGGTGTTTCTTTTTTTTTTTTTTTTTTTTAATTTTTTATTTTATTTATTTATTTATGATAGTCACAGCGAGAGAGAGAGAGAGAGAGAGAGAGAGAGAGAGGCAGAGACACAGGCAGAGGGAGAAGCAGGCTCCATGCACCGGGAGCCCGACGTGGGATTCGATCCCGGGTCTCCAGGATCGCGCCCTGGGCCAAAGGCAGGCGCCAAACTGCTGCGCCACCCAGGGATCCCGATCAGGGTGTTTCAAATAGTAATTATGCTGGTTTAGTTCTCAAAGAGGAAGCAGAAGCCAACCTTGCAGCTCTTTTCTTATTTGGGTACCTCACTCAGTTTTGACACCCCCTGTACTATATTTCTCACTTGCCCTTCAGGTCAGGCTGCCAGATGGGACCTCACTGACCCAGACGTTCCGGGCACGGGAACAGCTGGCCGCTGTGAGGCTCTATGTGGAGCTCCACCGTGGAGAAGAGCCTGGGGGAGACCAGGACCCTGTGCAGTTGCTCAGTGGCTTTCCCCGGCGGGCCTTCTCAGAGGCTGACATGGAACGGCCTCTGCAGGAGCTGGGTATGACACTTGGGACCAGAAACAGGACATGGGGGAGGGGGAGAAGGGTATGCCCAAGAAAGGAAGGAATGCCAGAAGACTTTGTGGAGATGGTGTGCGGCCAGAAATCTTGGGGAGCAAAAAGCCAGAGATCTTTGTGGTCAAAGCTATTTTCTTCCATCTTCAGGACTTGTGCCTTCTGCTGTTCTTATTGTGGCCAAGAAATGTCCCAGCTGAGAGGCCTTTATCCCACCATCTCTCTCTGACCTCTTCATCTTTGATAAAGCACTGACATCTCCTTCCTAATAAATAGACCCTGAGTTCTCTACGTGCCTGACTCCTTCCTGAATGGCTGGGAGGGCCAAAACTGAAACAGGAAGAAGCCAAAGGGAAGGCATTTAGGATAGACCTCATTTTTTAAAATCTCAAGTTTCTAACACACTTGATTCCAATCTCTGGGTCTTTTTACTTGCTTGGGAGGTTGAGAGGGGAGATTGTTAGGGATGGGGGAGTACAATGGGTAGCACTTTTTGCTCCTATAGGTAAGGCAGTGCATAGGCCTGAAATCCTTACTCATGTGCCCTGACTTTGGGAGTGGGGTGGGGGGCATCCTCCACCTGTGCCTGCCTTGACTTTCGGAAGCCAGCCTAGTTGCTACTTTAGTAAAATAAGTATGATAGTATCTGTTAATTTGGATTGTTGTAGGTGTTATATAATGCTGATATAGGGAGCGTTAGCATAGTGCCCAGCACCTAGTTAAGTTCCCAATAAATATTAGCTACTAAAAGGGTAATTTCTTTTTTTTTTTTTTTTAAGATTTTATTTATTTATTCATGAGAGACACACACAGAGAGAGGCAGAGACACAGGCAGAGGGAGAAGCAGGCTCCATACAGAGAGCCTGACGTGAGACTCAATCCCAGGTCTCCAGGATCAGGCCCTGGGCTGAGGGTGGTGCTAAACTGCTGAGCCACCCGGGCTGCCTGGTATTTTTTTTAAGATTTTATTTATTTACTCATAAGAGACACAGAAACATAGGTAGAGGGAGAATCAGGGTCCTTGTGGGGAGCCAGATGCAGGACTTGACCAAGAACCCTGGATCACAACCTGAGCCAAAGGCAGACCCTCAACCACTGAGCCACCCAGGTGCCCTGGGTAATTTTTGTTGTTGTTTAATGTGGCTATTCACAAATGGCCAGAACAGCATTGCAGTGACCTTTACACCGCATTTCCTCTTCACTAAAAGTACTGAGTACTTAATATGCACTAGTTTTAACTGCTGTATATGTATTAACTGAGATAAGAAGGCACTTACCTGGGGGTCACCACAAAGCACATGGCTTGCTGAAACCAACACAGGTAACTGACAGTGGAACTTGGACACACCTGGGGAGTCTGACTCTAGGACTCAGGCTCTCAACCTCCAAGCTCATCATAGCCCCTCACTGCTGCTGACCACATCACTCTAATGCTCCCTCAAAGAGCTGCTAACCTTTTCCCTCTCATTCGTGGGCTAGGGAAAGAGGCCACAATTAAACCAAAGATCACACTTAACAAATGTGTTTGGCTTAGCGCTTCACAACATCTAGCCACTGAAAACAGCATCAATGCTCCCATCTGGGTTTACAGCTCAGTGTTAACCAAGCTGTATTTAGTGTTCTGGCTTTATTATAATAAAAACAGGCTTTGGGTTTTGTTTTCTTTTTTCTTCTTCAGTTGAAATCTTGCTTGGAACCACAGGCAAGATTGTGAAATAGACAAGAGTGGGGCACCTCAGTGGTTTAGTTGGTTATGGGTGTTGCTCTTGGTTTTGGCTCAGGTGGTCTCTGAGTTGGGAGATCCAGCCCCTGCCCCAAACTGCACTCAGCAGGGAGTCTGCTTAGGGCTCCCTCCACCCTGTCCACCAGAGTCTCTAATTTTTTTGTGTGAGAAAGAGAGCACAAGCAGTCAGTGGGGAGGAACAGAGGGAGAAGCAGACTCCCCACTGAGCAGAGAGCCCATGGTGAGACTTGATCCCAGAACCCCAAGATCATAATGAGCCACCCAAGTGCCCCAGGGTCTCTTAAATCTTTTAAAAAAAAAGTAGACAGTGGGGTGAATTGGTTGATTTGGAGGTGGGGTGTGACCCAAATGCCAGCTTTATCTCATTCCTTCAGTGACATCTACAAGACCCCATGACTGAATTCAGAGATTGTGAACTACTACAGTCAAATCCTTTAAGGGGAAACCCTCCCCTACATTTATTGAAAGGCTGCTCTGTGCCAAGCAGTGCACTTTACATTTCCAAGTTAATCTTTTTACAGCAGCCGTCAAGATAATTGTCACCTTTAATGGAACAGGACTGAGGCTCAGGGAAGTTTTTGTGACATACAAGACTAATCAAAATCTGACTCAAAGCAGGCTTTCACTCCTAGCAAATTGGCCTCCATCACTTCAACAGCCCCAGAAAACATCGTGGCACATGTTAAATGCTAGCAGCCCCACTCCTACCTCACTCAAAGGACAGGAAACCCAAAGTGTCCTTTATGGGCAGGTATTGTTACAAGATTTTCCAAGACAGTTTTGATTTCAAGAATGTCACTTGGTTATCACCAAAAGTACACTAGCAGAGCACATGACCTGACTAGTGTTTCTGAATATGTCGCCACGAGGCAGGTGGGAGCCTTGGTCACCCGTGTCCCCAGCACGGACCCCAGGACACGAGACATTTATAAACGTCAGACCCCAGGGCTCACTGTCCAGACGGAGGAACGTGATTTATTGGTTCCTTCAGTTCGCCACATCCGACGCCCCAAGCCGGGGCGTCGGACGTGCAAGCGCAGTCAGAGCAGCGTCGGGGCGGAGGAGGGACGTGCTCACCCCGCAGCGGCTGCCAGGACTCAGGGAGGCCTGGACCCGGCATCTCAGTCCAGACTCCCCGCCGGGCCTGCGGAGAAAGGTCGCGTCGGACTCGTGCGCGGGAGGAAAGTCTCACGCTGACCTCCCGCCGCCAACCATCCAGTTCTTCCTCCAAGCCACGTTTTCCTGCGTGGCCGCTGCCTCCTGCAGAGTGGCCAGCACTAATTCTTTGGTCCTGGCCGCCTCGTCCCTGCGCCGTGGGTCCTGCTCGGGCATCTCCTGCGGAGAGGAAGGGAGGTTCGCAGTGCTCACCCACTCCCATGCCCCAGCCCGGGGCTCTCCGCCCGCCCAGTCCACCTCGCACCCGACCTGCTCCCACCTTCAGTATCGCCTGCTTCTGCTGCTCTCCCGGGCTCACGAGGACAAAGAGTGCGGAGCCCACGCCAGCCCCCGCTCCCAGAAGGGCCCCCACGATCAGCGATCTGCGTAAGGTCTCCATGGCCCGCCGCGCCCCGCGAAGCACCCTCTGCGGCCTCCCGCAGCCCAGGAAGCGTGTCCCCGCCCCCGCGCAGGCTAGAGCGGCCTGCAGAGACGACCATAGAGCAGGGTGGGGCTAGAGAGGGCTGATCGGCCCCACGCTTAGACTGTGGAGCGCCGGGATCCTGGACTGGATTTAGCTGGGAAGGTTGAGTGTGGCCGGGAGCGTTGGCGTCGGGGCGAGCTCTGCACCCCTTGTCGTGAAGTCAGACGGGTTGCTCAGGGGATCCTGCGTGACTTCGTGGGTGCTGTGGGTTTTGCAGTTGCCCATTTCCGAAATTTCATGATAGATACAGGGCTAGGACTGTGTTCTGTCGTTTCCTACAATAATTTGTGCTTTTTCGGTATAGCACATGCTGGACATCCAGATATTTACATCAATCTACTGACTCCCTCCAAATCCCCTCAAATTATTTAAAAAAAAAAAAAAGAAAAGTTATTTGGGACGCCTGGGTGGTTCAGTGGTTGAGCGTCGGCCTTCTGCTCAGGTCGTGATCCCGGGATCCGGAATCGGGCTCCCTGCGAGGTGCCTCCTTCTCCCTCGGCCTCTCTCTCTCTCTCTCAGTATCTTTTTAAAAATGTTATTTAAATTCAATTTGCCAACATACAGTATAACACTCAGCGCTCATTTCATCATGCCCCCTTAGTGCCCGTCACCCAATTACCCCATCCGCCCTCCCATACCTCCCCTTCTGCAACCTTTTGTTTCCCAGAATTAGGAGTCTCTCATGGTTTGTCTTCCTCTCTAATTTTTCCCCACCGTTTTCGCCCCCTTTCACTATTATATTCCACATGAGTGAAACCATATAATTGTCTTTCTCTGACTTATTTCACTCAGCATGATACCCTCCAGTTCCATACATCTTGATGTAAATGGTAGGTATTCGTCCTTTTTTTTTTTTTTAAGACTTTTACTTATTTTTGTGAGACAGATCACAAGCATGAGCAAAGGGGAGAGGTAGAGGGAGAAACAGGCTTCCTGCTGAGCAGGGAGCCCAATGTGGGACTCAATCCTAGGACCCTGGGATCATGACCTGAGGTGAAGGCAGATGCTTAACCAACTGAGCCACCCAGGCGCCCCTAGTCTTAGTCCTTTTTGATGGCTGAGTAATATTCCAGTGTATATATATACCATATCTCCTTTATCCAGTCATCTGTTGAAGGACATCGTGGCTCCTTCCACAGTTTGGCTCTTGTGTACATTGCTGCTGTGAATATTGGGGTGCAGATGCCCCTTTGTTCACTACATCTGTATTTTAGGGGTAAATACCCAGTAGTACAACTGCTATCCCCTCAATTTCTGAACAAAAACTCAAAGCCAAGTGTGCTGGATGAGTAAAAGGTATATTTATATATACATATATTTTTTAAATATTTTATTTTTAAGTTACCTCAACACCCAATGTGGGGCTTGAACTCACAACCCCAAGATCAAGAGTCATAGGCTGGGATCCCTGGGTGGCGCAGCGGTTTGGCACCTGCCTTTGGCCCAGGGCGTGATCCTGGAGACCCGGGATCGAATCCCACATCAGGCTCCTGGTGCATGGAGCCTGTGTCTCTGCCTCTCTCTCTCTGTGACTATCATAAATAAATAAAAATTAAAAAAAATTTCAGCTCTCCTTAAAAAAAAAAAAGATTTATAAAAAAAAAAAAAGAGTCATAGGCTCCACTGTTAGAGCTAGCCAGGCATCCTTATTTTACTTGTTAAATAAAGGTGTTGAAAGTTTGTTGGGGGCACCTGGGTGGCTCAGTCGGTTAAGCATCTGCCTTTTTTTTTTTTTTAAGATTTTATTTATTTATTCATGAGAAACACACACAGAGAGAGGCAGACACACCGGCAGAGGGAGAAGCAGGCTCCATGCAGGGAGCCCGATGAGGGACTGGCTGCGGGACTGGCTGCGGGACCTGATTCTGGGTCCTCAGGATCATGCCCTGGGCTGAAGGCGGCGCTAAACCGCTGAGCCATGGGACCTGCCCAGAATCTGCCTTTGGTCCAGGTCATGATCTCAGGCTCCTGGAGTGGAGCCCCCTATCAGGTTCCCTACTGAACGAGTTGGCTTCTCCCTCTTCTTCTGCCTCTCCCCACTGCTTGTACTCTCTCTCTAGTAAATAAAGTCTTAAAACAAAACAAAACAGGGCGCCTGGGTGACTCAGTGGTTGAGTATCTGCCTTTGGCTCAGAGCATAATCTTGGGGTCCGTGGATTGAGTCCCACATCGGGTTCCCCACAAGGAGCCTGCTTCTCCCTCTGCCTATGTCTCTGCCTCTCTCTGTGTGTCTCTCATGAATAAATAAATAAAATATTTTTTTAAAAAGTAAATTTGTTGTTTTTCTCATCATGGTATGAGATCATGGTACTCTCACCCCCAACCCCCAGTGAAAACTCTGGGTTTGGATAACATACTGAATTCTAGTTTGGAGAAGAAAGTACCTTTTAGTTCTGTGACTCTGGGCAAGTCATTTAAGTTCTTTGTGCCATCAGATGCCCGTGCATTGGAAAACAGGTCTAGGGATCCCTGGGTGGCTCAGAGGTTTAGCACCTGCCTTTGGCCCAGGGCATGATCCTGGAGTCTCGGGATCGAGTCCCGCATCAGGCTCCCTGCATGGAGCCTGCTTCTCTCTTTGCCTGTGTCTTTGCCTCTCTCTCTGTCATGAATAAATAAATAAAATCTTTAAAAAAAAAAAAACAGGTCTAATGACAGTATCTATCTCATAGTTCTAGGATAATTACATGAGTTCATATATAATTAAATGAGTTTCTGGCAAATAGCTAATACCATATAAATATTCGTTAAATATGACACAAAGAGGGCCCCCCGGGTGGCTCAGCAGTTTAGCACTTCCTTTGACCCACCTTGATCCTGGGTCTCCAGGATTAAGTCCCACTTTGGGCTTCCTGTATGAAGCCTGCTTCTCCGTGTGTGTGTGTGTGTGTGTGTGTGTGTGTGTGTGTGATGAATAAATAAATAAAATCTTAAAAAAAAAAAAAAGACACAAAGAAGCATGTCAAATTAGAAGACCCAGTAAGGAATCAGGAATTCCCAAGTTTGTTAACAGAATTCTTCAGTCACAGGGCTTTAAGACAGATGCCCTGTTGGCTCCTACCCCTCCTGCCTTTCCTGGTGTCACCGGGGTGTGGGGTGACACAAAGCTCCTAGTCCACCTGTTGGGATTTTCCCCTCTCTGGAAGGCCCATAATCTCCTTGCTTGTCATTGTCTTCTCAGAAGTGATTAAGGGGCCAGGCTCTAAAGATTAAAAGAGCCGCCTGTGGAGTGTACTGAGTAGGGTACTCCACTTTGAGTTCTCTAAGAATTAGCACCCATGGCCCTTGTGCCAGGGAACAGTGAGGATGAGCCTTGGCCTACAGACAGCCCAGGCTCCTCCCAACACCCAGAAAGTCCTAGGCTGACCAACCCTCTGTGGATGGACAGAGGAGAAATTGTTAGGGTTGAAGATCACCAGGATGTACAGGTTAGGACTCCCTTACCCTGTTGTCCTGCTGCTGGCTCATCCTCCGACTTGGTCAAGCGCCCTGCTATCCTGATTCAGGATTTTGTCTCTCAAAAGGCCCGCCTACCCTCCATTGTGGTAGAAGCCTCTGAGGTGAGTGAAGACAGCGGGGAGTTTGATTGGCCACATGAAGAGTTGCTGCTGCTCACTGATGAGGAAGAGGAGGCTGAGGTCTTCTTCCAGGACCAAAGTGAAGAGCCAGGTAAGGGAGGCAGCAGCTTCAGTGGAGCTGTTGTGACCTGAATGTTCTGGGCAGGACTGAAATGGAAACCTGGGTTGGGTTGCACTAAGCAATATAGGCACACAGTAGGTGCTTAGTGTAGTGGGAGAAAACATAGAGGTGGAGAGAACAGTCAAGGTGTCTGGCAAAGTTGAACTTTAGAGGGAAGTTCTCATGTCAGATGGGGATGTCTTTTAAACAACTTTTATTTAAATTCGATTTGCCAACATACAGTATAACACCCAGTGCTCATCACGTCACGTGCCCTCCTTAAGGCCGGCCACTCACTTATGGGTGATGCCTTTTAATTAAGTACTTTTATTTTTTAATTTTATTTATTCATGAGAGACAGAGAGAGAGAAGCAGAGACACAGGCAGAGGGAGAAGCAGGTTCCCTGCGGGGAGCCCTATGTGGTTCTTGATCCCAGAACCTCAGGATCATGACCTGAGCCCAAGACAGACGCTCAACCATTGAGCCACCCAGGCATCCCTAATTTTTTTATAAGAAAAAAAAATTACACAAATTTGTTGCATCTTTTAAAGTCAATAATAGACCAGGAATACTTTTCACTCTTCAACTCCCCTCTCCCCCAGGCTGGACATGGAGCCCATTGGACCCCAGATCTCCCTTACGAAGCTTTAACCCAGAATTCAGCTGGGGGCAGGAACAGGGAGAACCAGAGGTCTCCTGGATTCCTGAGGACATGGATTATCAGGAAGCCTCCAATCCTTGTTCTCTTTGGAACCCAGCAGCAGGCTCCCATGTTTGTAGAAGCTGCTTTGTGGAATACTCACATCTGCTTCCCAGGAGATTTGAGGGTAAGAACCATTCTGTCCTCAACATTTCAGCCAGGTTTGTTATAAGGCATTTCTATTGGCCCTTTCAATCTTCCCTCTTTTAAAGCTGACTTCAAGAGGATTAGAAGTGAGGTCAGTGGCTCACACAAATCAGTCAATACTGGGATTTGGATTAAGAACTCCTCTATTAAAAAACTCCTCAAACAGGGGCATCTGGGTCACTCAGTTGATTAAGCACCCAACTCTTGGTTTTGGCTCAGGTCATGATCTTAGGGTCTTGGGATCAAGCCCTGCATCAGGCTCTATGCTGGGTGGGCTTGGAGTCTGCTTGGGATTCCCCCTCCACCTCTTCCCCACACCTCTAAAATAAACAAACAAAAAAACCCCTCAAAAAAACCCACAAAACGGGATCCCTGGGTGGCGCAGCGGTTTGGCGCCTGCCTTTGGCCCAGGGCGCGATCCTGGAGACCCGGGATCAAATCCCACGTCAGGCTCCCGGTGCATGGAGCCTGCTTCTTCCTCTGCCTATGTCTCTGCCTCTCTTTCTCTCTCTGTGACTATCATAAATAAATAAAAATTTTAAAAAAATTAAAAAAAAACCCACAAAACTCCCGTTTTATTTTTTTATTTTTATTCTTTTTTAAATTTTTTATTTATTTATGATAGTCACACAGAATGAGAGAGAGAGAGAGAGAGAGGCAGAGACATAGGCAGAGGGAGAAGCAGGCTCCATGCACCGGGAGCCCGACGTGGGATTCGATCCTGGGTCTCCAGGATCGCGCCCTGGGCCAAAGACAGGCACTAAACCGCTGCGCCACCCAGGGATCCCTATTTTATTTTTTTATTTTTAAAAGAGATTTTATTTATTTATTCATGAGAGACACACAGAGAGAGAGGCAGAGACACAGGGAGAGGGAGAAGCAGGCTCCATGCAGGGAGCCTGATGTGGGACTTGATCCTGGGACTCCAGGATCATGCCCTGGGCCAAAGGGGCAGGTGCTAAACCGCTGAGCCACTCAGGGATCCCCTGTTTTATTTTTTAATTTTAATTTAATTTTTTAATTTTTTAAAAGTGAAACCTTTTATTTTTTTTTAAGATGTCATTTATTTATTCGTGACACACACACACACACACAGACACAGAGGCAGAGACACGGGCAGAGGGAGAAGCAGGCTCCATGCAGGGAGCCTGACGTGGGACTTGATGGGGTCTCCAGGATCACGCCCTGGGCTGAAGGCGGTGCTAAACCGCTGAGCCACCCGGGCTGACCTTTTATTTTTTATTTGTAAAGATTTTATTTATTCACGAGACAGAGAGATAGAGACATAGAGGGAGAAGTAGGCTCTTCCCAGGGAGCCCATTGTGGGACTCTATTCCCCGGATGGCGATCACGCCCTGAGCCAAAGCCACACACTCAATCACTGAGCCACCCAGGTGTCCCAATACTCCTGTTTTTAGAAGGTCCAGTTCCTTGGGGCTGGGGAATGTGCCACTGCATCTACTCTTATTGGCACTCCTCTTGTGCCTGGCCTTGCTAAATGCTCCAGGTCCTACCTATCATTATATGCAATCCCCTTAATTCCAGGTATTATTCCTACCTTGCTGCCAATGTGCGAACTGGGACACAGAAACATTCAATGCTATGTGCATTCAATGCTAATGCAGAGACCAGACTCGCTTCCCAGTCATCTTACAACGCTGAAAAACTATCCACCTCTCCCTCACCCAACAATAATTCAGGCCAGACTGAAGTCTTTAAAGAGAGCCTTGAACCAAGTAAGCAAAGTAGGTGATACCCCCAAAAGGGCCTAGCTCCTGCACCATCACAGTACAGCCTGGGGACCCTTGTTCTAGGCAGGGCACTCGCACATCAGGGTCCTCATCTGAGAACTGAATCAGGGTCCCCTGGGGGCTTAGGACCCTGAAGCACTCTGACAGAAGCTGGTAAGCCCCAGGCCAACCGCCTCGGGCAACAGCATCCCAGGTGCCCTTATCCAGCACTAGCCGGAAGGAGCCTGAGGAAGCCACGGACTCCAGGTTCTGGGCATCAGCCTGCACGAAGTGGAGTTGAGAGGCAGGGTGCCCAGGGCACAGGGGCTTTCCATCTTGGCCACCTTCCAGCAGACTCTTCATGTGGGCCACAGCCACAGGAGAGAGGTCCACCCCCAGGACGTCCACGGGATGTGGGCACCTGGTGTAGAGGCCTGTACACAGACTGGAGGTTCCACAGCCCACGTCCAACACCCGCAGTGGGCATGCAGCCTGGGACTTCTTCAGCAGCGGCAGCAGGAACCCCTGGGCTTCCTCATACCCAAAGAACCAGTCGAAGGTGGGGACGCTGCCTGCACGGGTATCGGAATGGAGCTTATCCCAGAGGCGATGGTCGGCCGGGCAACTGCCAGCCAGGGAGCCTGTGGACACGAGTGGAGTACCTGTGTCACCCAGCGCCTAAGTTCCATCAAACTGTTGCAAAAACGGTACAACGTACCCTGGGGTCTTAAGATTCACAATTTCAGATACTAGACTCCCAGGTCTCTAAGAACCCTCCCCTCCCGCTGTCTACCTTCCCTACCCGCCAAAGCGCCGCGCGCCCCAGCCGCCAGGGTCGCCACGTGGAGGGCTCGGCGCAGCGCTGCCATCTGGAGATCCCGGCAAGGTCGGCCAGAGAACCTTCGCGAAATGTCGCCACCACTTCCGCAGGAGCCTGAGGTCCAAGAGAAAAGCAGCAAATTCCGCTTCGTGCAATAACGCGTACTGCCTTCCTAACAAAAACCTCGGAAAAAAGAACGTGGACACACACCTACTAGGGTACGAACCGCCTTTATTGTTTGCAACCGGAAGTAAAAGAGAAGACCCTGCAGTTCGAGCTCCGAGGGCGGCTCCAAAGACCTGAAATCGAAGGAGAAGGCGTGAGCGCCCCAGGGAGGAGTCTGCGGAAGCCCGGTTCCGCCGTGCTCCTCGGAGCCAGTGTCCCGGCGCTTGAGGATAGAACCAGCGGACTGGAAGCCGCGGGCACCGAAGACATGACGCCGAGGAGGCCGGAGCCCTTTCCTTCTGCCTCCGTACATTACGGGGACCGGGACTGCACACCCGACCCCCGCCAAGAAAAGGAGGGTGCGCAGGCCTCGCCCAACACCCCCGCCTTGGAACCGAGCTCGCAAACGACCCACGGACCTCACCTGCCGCCGTCGCGGGAAAGAACCGTCAACGCGCCGCGTCCATTTATGTAGCCGCGATCCGCCCCCGAGCTTCGATTGGCTCGCGGGGGCCGGGGGCGGGCCTACGTCGACGCTGCGCCGAGGCAAAACGCGGTCTTGGAACCACGTTCGCTGCGCAGCCATGGGGCCTCCCGGGGGGAAGATCAACCGGCCCCGAACGGTGACTGTGTGGAAGCCCGACTTTGTTTCTCCGAGCGTCCTGCAGCCCTCTCATCCCTCCAGAGATGGGATCTATGGGCTGGACTCCGGGTGCGGGGTCTCGGGTCGCGCGGTGCGCGGCATCGTCTGATTAGCATCTTCCTCCCCCTTAGGAGCTGAAGAAGAAGCTGTTCAAGCGCCGGCGGGTGTTGAACCGGGAGAGGCGACTGAAGCATCGGGTAGTCGGGGCTGTGGTAGACGAAGGGCTGATCACACGGCACCACTTGAAGAAGCGGGCGTGAGTGCCGGACCCTCTTGGCTTTGCCCCTCCCCGCTGAGTGCCGTTCCCCTTCCCTCCCCGCCGGGCTCCTCGGCAAGGAGTCCTTCTGCGTTCCTCTGTGTGCACTGACGGAGCGTTTGTCGGAGCGTTTGTCAGCTGTGCTTTTGCCTGCACCCCGCTAGCCTAGCACCTCGCACGGTACCTGTAGTTCACAACCTCTCCGCCTCCTGGACGTCCCCCACTAAGAATGTAAGAACTGTCCACTCACCCACCTCCGCAGGTAACATGGTACATTCACTTTTTTTTTTTTTTTTTAAGATTTTATGTATCTGAGAGCACAAGCAAGGGGAGCAGCGGACAGAGAGGGAGAAGCAGCCTTCCTGTGCAGGAACTCCATCCCAGGAACCCCGGATCATGACCTGAGCCCCAGGCAGACGCTTAATTTACTGAGTCACCCAGGGGCCCCTTCACATTAGATTTTTGTAAATAAAAAAAATTGTTTTTTAATTTATTCATGAGAGACACACACACAGAGGCAGAGGCACAGGCAGAGGGAGAAGCAGGCTCCATGCAGGGAGTCCCAATGTGGGACTCGATCCCATGCCCTGGACTAAAGGCAGGCACTAAACCGCTGGGCCACCGGGGCTGCCGTAGATTTTTATAAATAAATTTAAAGCACATACATGGGGCAGCCCTGGTGGTTCAGCCGGTTTAGCGCCGCCTTTAGTCCAGGGCGTGATCCCGGAGACCGGGGATCCAGTCCCACATCAGGCTCCCTGCATGGAGCCTGCTTCTCCCTCTGCTTGTGTCTCTGCATCTCTCTCTCTCTTTCTCTCTCTCTGAATAAATAAATAAAATGTTTAAAAAAAAAATAAAGCACACACATGAGTATGCACGAACTCAATTTACAGAAAAGCGCCTAATGGGATTTTGCATGTTTCAAAGCCCCCTGAGCCTTGGGGAAGAGTTCCCATCCCATCGTTTCATTGACTTCTTCATTGTAAATATTTACAGTTTGGGATATAATAAATATATTTGGTCTTTGTCCGTGGTTCCTAGCACAGAGCTTCTAAAACCCTTAGGATTTTCTGAGTGATAGGAGTGTCATGTATGGCCTAAGGACCCCCTTTTGAGCACGCCTAAGGTTTATACTAATAACTTAGGGTGGAGCTGATCTCCTGAAAGACCAGGTGGTGAGAGCGTGGTAGATTTAAACTCCACCTACTTAGGAAGATTAAGTTCTAGAAGAACTCTTGAATAGTAGAGATTTGATGAGCTTCCTGGTTAGTGAACAGGTGGAGGTTTGGGGAAAGTGGCACACCTGGAGAGAGCGTGAAAGCTCAGTGCCCCTTCCCCATACTTTACCCTATGCATCCCTTCCATCTGGCTGTTACTGAATTGCATCCTTTTACAATAACTAAGTAAATGCAAGTAAATGTTTCCCTGAGTTCTGTGAGCTCTTCTAGCAAATTACTGAGTCTGAGAAGGGGATCGTGAGAACCTTGGTTTATAGCTGATTATTCAGAAGCAAAATATCTGAAGTGGGGGGGCAGTCTTGTGAAACAGCGCCCTCAACCCGTGGCATCTGATCCAGGTAGATTGTGTCAGAACTGAGTTAAATGTGTAGGATTCTCAGTCGGTGTCCACCAAATTTGAGAATGCCTTGATGTGGGGAAAAACCCACACCTTTTTGGTGTCAGAAGTATTGAAAATAGGGGCACCTGGCTGGCTCAGTTGGTAGAGCATGTGACTCTTGATTTCAGGGTTATGAGTTCAAGCCTCATGTTGGATATGGAGCCTACTTAAAAAAAAAAAAAGTATTAAAAATAGAGGAGAGGGATGCTTGGGTGGGTGGCTCAGTGGTTGAGCGTCTGCCTTTGGCTCAGGGTGTGGTGCCGGGATCCTGGAGTCGAGTCTTGCATCAGGCTCCCTACAGGGAGCCTGCTTCTCCCTCTGCCCATGTCTGCCTCTCTCTGTGTCTCTCATGAATAAATAAATAAAATCTTAAAAAAAAAGAAAAGAAAAGTAACTTTACCTTACAAGTTCTGGCACATACCAAATTTTAACATTTAATGTTAAGTACTTTATATATGTGTGGGAGTGGTATTAAGTATGTAAATGGCTAAGTGTTGGAGAGATTTAACTCACTACCTCAGAGCCCAGGTTTTCAAGGTCTTTTTACTTGAATCCAAAGACCTTTTCGATAGAACCAACTGACGCTGGTTCAGGAAATCTTTGCTCCTACTGACCCTTCAGGTCCAGTGCACGTGCCAACATTACTCTGTCTGGGAAGAAGCGCAGAAAGCTCCTCCAGCAGATCCGGCTGGCCCAGAAAGAGAAAGCAGCCATGGAAGGTAAGGCCAGGGCATAGAGGTGGGGTCAGGGAGCAGCCTGGATTCCTTGGGGTTCTTTAATACTTTCCCTTTCCTTTTTCTCAGTGGAAGCCCCCACAAGGCCAGTCAGGACTAGTGGACCACAGCCCAAGCGACAAAAGAAGACAAAAGCACCCCAGGATATAGACATGGAGGACCTTGGAGATGAGAGGGGACTCTCTCACCCCTTCCACTAGAAGATTCTCAGCTGGAGCCAGAAAGACTCTAGTTGTTCAGAGGACTTTGGAGAAGGCATTGCCCCTTTTCATTCTCCCCAGACTCCTCTTCCTTCATGGCCTAGTGACCTGTCATGGAGGGATATGTTAAGAGGAAGAGGGTGGTGAAGAAAGACTGGAGAACGTGGCCCCCTTGCAGTCAGCTCCACTTGTAATAAAGTTCTAGAGTTCTCTTTGAGATGTGTGGTTTAATGTGGGAGCCTGAAAGGGACTTGGGAAGGGGTCTGTGGGTGTGGAAACAAGATAGAAAATAAAACCCATGGCGCTAGGGCAGTCCGGGTGGCTCAGCGGTTTAGCTCCACCTTTGGCCCATGGTGTGGTCCAGGAGACCCGGGATCAAGTCCCATATCGGGCTCCCTGCATGGATCCTGCTTCTCTCTCTGCCTGTGTCTCTGCGCTTCTCTCTTACTCTCTCTCTCTCTCCTTGTGTGTGTGTCTCTCATGAATGAATAAATAAGTAAAATCTTAAAAAAAAAAAAAAAAAAAAAACCAAACCCATGGCGCTCACTTGAGCAAGGGCAATAAGAAGGCAGCCTCTGTGATGATCCTGTCTCCCTAGCAACACTCCCAACTCTCCACTTCTGACAACAATACAGATTATTGTAGAAATGGCAGAGGAGATAAAGTCCTGATACCAGCCCTGCCACTCACTGCCTCTGTGACCAGAGGGGGCAAGTCACTTTATTTATTTATTTGTTTGTTTATTTATTTATGATTTGAGAGAGAGCACAAGTGGCAAGTGGGGAGGGGGTGCAGAGGGAGCAGCAGAAGCAGACACCCCACTGAGCAGGGAGCCTGAAGAGGGGCTGGATCCCAGCGCCCCAAGATCATGACCTGAGCTGAAGGCAGACACAGCTGCCTGAGGTGCCCAGGTACCCCAGGAACAAGTCACTTTATGTCAGGTTTGTATCTGCTTCCTTTGTTGGATTTTATATATATACATCACTTTTAAAAAATATTTATTTGGGATGCCTGGGTGGCTCAGCAGTTGAGTGCCTGCCTTTGGCCTAGGGCCTGATCCTGGAGTCCCAGGATCGAGTCCCACATCGGGCTCCCTGTATGGAGTCTGCTTGTCTCTCTGTCTCTGACTCTCTGTGTATCTTTATTTTTTTAATTTTTTTTTAATATTTTTTTTGAAATTTTTTTTTATTTATTTACGATAGGCACACAGTGAGAGAGAGAGGCAGAGACACAGGCAGAGGGAGAAGCAGGCTCCATGCACCGGGAGCCCGACGTGGGATTCGATCCCGGGTCTCCAGGATCGCGCCCTGGGCCAAAGGCAGGCGCCAAACCGCTGCGCCACCCAGGGATCCCTCTCTCTGTGTATCTTTCATGGATAAATAATTAAAATCTTAACAAATAAATAAGAGGTTTATTTAGGGATGCCCGGATGGCTCAGCAGTTGAGTGTCTGTCTTTGGCTCAGGGTGGGATCTTGGGGTTCCGGGATTAAGTTCCACATTGGGCTCCCTGTGAGGAGCCTGCTTCCCCTCTGCGTAGGTCTGTCTCTCATGAATAACAAAATCTTAAAAAAAAAAAAAAAAAAGTTTATTTATTTTAGAAAGAGTGAACTGTGTAGGGAGCGTGTATCAGGAGAGGAAAAGGGAAAGCTGACTCCCTGCTAAGTGCAGAGCCTTACCTGCCAGCTCATTTCATAACCCTGACTTTAGCCCTGAGATCAAGACCTGAGCAGAAACCAGGGGTCCAGCACTTAACCAACTGAGCTACCCAGGCACCCCTGCTGAATTCTATTTTTAATTAATTTTTAAAAAGATTTTACTTATGAGAGGTACAGCCAGCCAGGCATCCCAGGATTATATTTTTAATAAGATGAAGATTGAGCATAACTTTTTCCATTTAATATTCAGAACTTCTGTTGGGAGCCAGAGCTGGGGTGTTTAAAGTGAAAAGCTGCCTGTGTGGAGGTGTGTTCAACAGAGGAAAGCATAATCTTTCTGCTCTGTTTAATCACTACTGGCTTCCTGGAGGAGGGAGGATTTGGGCCCAGTGTCATACCTCCCCAGCCAACTTCCTATTTTGAATTTCAAACTTCCAATAAAGTTAAGAAGTTAGTTACAATGAACCTTTATATATGTACTCTACTTAGATTTACCAATTTTTAACATTTTCTTACACTCGTTTCATCTCTGCACTTGTAAATATGTATGTGTGTATCTTTTTTTTTTTTTTTTTGAGATTTTATTTATTTATTCACGAGAGACACAGAGACAGAGAGGCAGAGATACAGGCAGAGGGAGAAGCGGGCTCCATCCAGGGAGCCTGACGTGGGATTCGATCCGGAGTCTCCAGGATCACGCCCTGGACTGAAGGTGGCGCTAAACCGCTGAGCCACCCGGGCTGCCCTGTATCTTTGTTGTTGTTGACTCATGTGAAAGTCAATTGCAGATGAGATTTTACCCTTAAGAACATTCTTTTATATAGCCAAACTACTATTGTCACACCTAACATATTTAACGTTGGCTATTGGGGATGCCTGTGTGGCTCAGCGGTTGAGCATCTGACTTTGGCCCAGGGGGTGATCCCAGAGTCCCGGGATTGAGTGCCACATCGGGCTCCCTGCAGGGAACCTGCTTGTCTCTCTCTCATTGCTGTAGAACTTATCTAGTTTAAAAATCTTTTACAGGTCAAAAGTTGAGGTTGTGAGGTGGATACCAGTTTGAGGCAATCCTAGGAGTAGAAATGGTCTCTATTGTTCTAGAACAGATCTTGCTAGTAAGTGGCATGGGCATGCCTGGGTGGCTCAGTGGTTGAGCGTCTGCCTTTGGCCCAGGGTGTGATCCCGGGGGCCGGGATGGAGTCCCGCATAGGGCTCCTTATGGGGAGAGTGCTTCTCCCTCTGCCGACTCTCTGTGTCTCTCATGAATAACTAACTAACTAACTAACTAACTAACTAACTAACTAACTAACTATCGAGAGAGAGAGAGAGAGAGAGAGAGAGAGAGAGGAGAGAGAGAGAGTCAGAGATACAGGCCGAGGGAGAAGCAGGTTCCACTGAGCCACCCGGGCGCCCCTGTTTACTTGTTTTTTGATGTATTTAATATGATCACTATTTATTGATGAAAATGTTTCCAAGTGCTTCATTTTTTAAAACCTCGTAAGTTGGGATCCCTGGGTGGCGCAGCGGTTTGGCGCCTGCCTTTGGCCCAGGGCGCGATCCTGGAGACCCGGGATCGAATCCCACGTCGGGCTCCCGGTGCATGGAGCCTGCTTCTCCCTCTGCCTGTGTCTCTGCCTCTCTCTCTCTCTCTGTGACTATCATAAAAAATAAATAAATAAAAAAATAAAACCTTGTAAATTGAACACTTCGTATTTTTGGCTTTCGGCAAAATAAATTCGACCGTGAATAGCCGCAGCTAGCTGTAGTTTGTGTGTCAAAGGCCCTTTGGAGGAACAACAACGAAAGGTTTCATTGAGGCCGGAACGGCTTCTCATCGTCACTAAGTCCGGGTCGGGGATCCCGACGCGGTCCGGAACCAACGTAGGAGGGTCGCGGACGTCGACGGACCGGTTTCCCGGGGATACACAGTCGCTGGTTCCTTTCGGGCTTCCTGTCAGCGCGCATGCGCTGCCTGCGCTTCGCCGCTCCCGCCTCGGGCTCGGGCTAGGGCTCCGGGATGTCCGCGTTGTGCGACCCTCCCGGGGCCCCAGGGCCTCCCGGGCCTGCCCCGGCCACCCACGGTCCCGCGCCGCTCAGGTAGTTAGAGCCCCTGGCATCTTACCCCCATCGCGCGGCCCTGCGCCGATCCCCAGCCTTCTCGGCAGAAACCCGGATCCTACCTCGAGAACTCGCGTCAGGGTTCTCAGAGATTCCTGGTCGGATCTTCCCAGAACTCAGGGACCGCCTCAGCAAAACTCTGGGCTCCAGTGCCCGCACTCGTGAGCTCTCGGTCCTGCCTCCCCCGCACCCCCAGCGCCTAGATCCCGGCCTTGTTCTCCCAAGAGCTGGGGCTATCAGAACTCTTGGGAGCCCAGCTGTCCTGCCCCTTTTAGGCTTGAGAGAACCCAGGGTCCCTTGACTTCATGGAGACTCCCTGAGAGCCCGGGCCCAGAAATCCACACAATGCTTCCCTCTAGCCTTTGCCTTACCCTCCGACTAAGATACTCCCCCTCACCTTAGGATGGTTTATTTGATTATTTATTTAAAGAATCGGAGAGAGCATAGTCTGGAGCCCTATCAGCCCCTAGAGGACTTGGTCTTCTTTGGTAGAAAAGGCAGTAAAAGGAAGGGTACTTTGTCTCTTCCCATAACACTGGCTTCTGAACCTCTGAGGCCAAAGCTCTATGTTTTGGGAGGGGAGGTGTTGAAAGCCAGGCATTACCTTGTCTGTACCCTGGCACACTGAGCATGCCGGGAAGGGGGTTTGTTGATGTGGAGTTTAAGTGCTGGGTGGCGACGATGTTTGCAGAATATGGGAAAAAACAGGTACTAGGGCAGCCCGGGTGGCTCAGCGGTTTAGCGCCGCCTTTGGCACAGGGTGTGATCCTGGAGACCTGGGATCCAGTCCCATGTCCGGCTCCCTGCATAGAGCCTGTTTCTCCCTCTGCCTGTGTCTCTGCCGCTCGCTCTCTCTCTCTCTCTCTCTCTCTGTGTGTGTGTGTGTGTCTCTCATGAATAAATAAATAAATAAAATCTTTAAAAAAAAAACAAAACAAAACAGGTACTAGGAAGCCTTAATGAGGGACAAGTTTGAGCTTAAGATTTTAAGAGCAAGATCCTGGGTGGTTGTGTTTTGTTTGCGGGGAGGGCAGCCAGGAGGGCAGCCAGGCTGCAAAGGTGTGTTTTTTGTTTTAAAGATTCTATTTATTCATGAGAGACATAGAGAAGCAGAGACACAGGCAGAGGGAGAAGCAGTCTCCACGCAGGGAGCCCGATGCGGGACTCGATCCCAGGACTCCAGGATCACACCCTGGACCAAAGGCAGGCCCTAAACCGCTGAGTCACCCAGCGATCCCTGGAAAGGTGTTTTTAAAGCAGATGTTATAGCCACACAAGATGCATTTGCTTAATTCAGCAAATACTTAATGGAGTACTTCCCATATACCAGGCGCTTCAGTAGAAGAGGATTCATTGTTGAAGAGCACAGAAATGGTTACTACCCTCTTGGGACTTCTAGTCTGATTACTTAACTTTGGTTTTCTTTCTTTCTCGCTCTTTTTT